TTTGAAACATCAAACATAAAGGAAACATTTTTTTAAAAACTAACAGGAATGTTCCTAATGTTAATGAAAGTTAGCTTGCTTCACTAGGAGGGGGGTCTTCTAAACTCATTCTTTTTATTAAGACATAGCAATGCTCTTAAATAACAGTAAAAGTTGAATAAGTTCCTGTGAGACATCAATACCACATCTCACAAGTCAGAATCTCTAATGACATTTCATCATTAATGGCCAGTGATGGGTTTCTGTAACTTATCTGTATAAAAAGATAGGATAATAAAGTTAAAGGGATATAATAATCACATGGAAAGTTCTAATATGGTTTTATATTAAATGCCTTGTGGCAATTCCTTAGGCAGCCAGCTGATATATCTTTTAACAATCACAGTTCATGTTCCTTTTTTCCCAGTATGACTTATTTATAAAATTGACTTTTTTTAAAAAAATGCTCCCTGAAGATTTTACATGGGTGTGGAGATTCTACATTTCAAAGTATTTTTGTATAGCTCTGGTTACTACTGTCACTTTACATAAGCCTTCTACTGCTGGAAAAATTCTTTTTTGAAGCTAATGCCACCTCGGACAAACTTTCTGCATCACTCCATTGGATTGCTTTTCCATTTATCCTCAACTTCTCTTTCTGTTTTGACTGTGCCCAGTAATTCCTCTGCTATTTAATATTAGCTCTGCCCAGATTGCACCCCAAAGATCCCTCTTGCTGAGGGGCCCTGGACACACAGATCCCACTGCCTTCATAGAATGGGGGAAGTCACCTCTATGGCACTGACTCAGATTTGATAAGACCCTCTGTAGGGCCAATGAGCTGCAAGTAGGAAGGTGGTCATTGTCCTCTCAACTCTGCGAGGACTCCATTCACTACAGCTTGAAGTCGTAGTAACCCCCGAGTGGAATCTCTTCCTTTGTATTTTAAGAGCAGGAGACAGAGGTCCAAGATCAGGCACCAACAGAGGCACTCTTTTTATATGGTCCATATTTTATATATTACACACACATCTGTATCTATAAAATAGAAGCCATGTTGACAGACCCATGGGAGAATAGTTGGGGATTAGTAGACAAACAGAAAGACTTGGCCCGTAGCTGACCCCCAAAATCTTTCTTTTATGGAGGCTACTGCTGCTCTTGGCACTAGCCTGGAGCAACCTTACAGTCAGGATAGCACAAGGACTGCAGTAGTGTGCAATACTGTTTTCCTCCTGTGCAAGGGCACAAAGAAAGGGAAGGCTACCTTCCCACCATTGAAGTCTCAGGGCTAATCAGTATCTGGCTCCTAACTGTGCCTGTTTTCAGCCAAAATACATCAACCTTGCTGCCTATTTAAATGACAGTTGTGGGAGCTGCTTTTTGGCTGTATTACATGCAGATGCAATAAATACAGTAGACTACTCAACTGCAGCCCAAAATAGAAAGTTAGCTACTGGCCCAGTTTAATATCATACTAGTTTAGACTTCCTGCAGTAAGAAACTCCTTGAACAATTTCAGGACTGGATAGGATTGTGATAGGTTACTCAAGTTCCACTAGAGATAAACTACTACCCAGGAGTTTGGGGGCACCCATCAGACAACTAATTACATAGTTAATCCCTACCCATTCCGAGCCTACCTAGATGGTTTATAACTCACAGTAAAGGGGTAATATATAAAAAATGGATCTTGCTGGCTGGTTTCATGTCTACACTGAGTTAAGTAGTTCCAAAAATGCAGGATTGCAGTCAGAAATTTTCTAAAGCTTCAGCTTTATTAGTTCATGTTATGGGCAGGAAATGTAGATGAGCTCTTTTGCTTAGTCCCCAACCTCTAATCAATGCTCTGTGGGCAGAGGAGGACCAGCCCCATTTTAATGGTGGTAGGGCCAGAGGGATGATCACCCCACATGAAGATTTAAGAAAGGAGCACAGCCTGGAGCTGTATTACCTTTTCACCATGGCCCCTTCCATTTTGGGAATCCTCAGATCCTTTAATGGAGATCCTGGGACCAGTTGGGGAAGCATTGGTAGTGCAGTGAATGAAGATTTGGGATTGAGCTGCTGGGGGCACAAAGCCTCCATGCAGGTGGCCTTGACCTCCTGACACATCCAGGTGTGTCTCTGGGTGTCCTCCAGAGTCAGAGGACAAACTCCGCCCCCAGGGAAGATTCCTTAAGGGGATCCCCACTGATATTTCCTCCCCTTCAGATATCTAATAGGACTCCAGCCCTGGGTTGAGTATATTCGCTTTCCTATCATGGACGCAGGTATTCACATTAAATTCATTTCATACTGTCTCTGTAGTAGTCATGTTTTGTCAGCTGTTTCCTCATTTTTTTCTCCATGTGAGTGAAAAGGGAATTTGCATTTATATTAAGGTTTGATCATAAGCAGGACAAAGGTATGTACTTCTAACAAAACTTGATCTACAAAATTTGCTCAAATATTCAATTGAACACCCATTGCTCAGATTGCTTTGTAATTTAAGGAAGAGGGTTTTACCCCCTAGATTTCATCTACAGGATTAAATCACGAATGAAACTTGATATATACATAAGTGGCATTTGAGCTCTAGGAGAGCAATATACAATTTAACCTCAGAGTGGTGCAGGTTAAATAAAAAGCAACTAAGAGTTATGGTTGGAAGACAAAAGCAGGTTAACCCCTTTCCACCACCTGTTGGTGAGCTCATGCTTGAGATACTGAGGCGGATGGAATCTAATTTAACCTGATTTTCTTTGCCCAATAAGAAACTGTTTGGCAGTTACCTTTACAGAGTAGCTCAGTATTTACTAACTTGACAGCTGTGTGATGGAGGGCTGGAAGCCACTGTCAGGCTGAGAACTAAGGAAAGAGCTGGAGGTGTGTGCCCATGACGACAAGAATGATGCTTTTCCTGAGTTGGTCTTCTCCTCAAACCTTATCTATTTACCCCACAATACAAGCTCAGTCATCTTCTTGCTCTATTGAACATAGCTTTCAGTGTTTTTACTTATTACTCTACTGTATTTTATATAGACGGAATACTTACCACATGTAGCAAGGCTATGTTGTTTGTAACTCTGTATCGTTACATGAAAACAATCTACTTTATAAATATCAACATGCCAGCCACACTCCAAATATTACACAGCCACATTTGGGGATTTTTTTAAAAATAACTGACTTCTTAATGTATTTCCTCACCAGAATTTCATGAGGTACTCGGAATTTGGGCTTAAAGCATAAGTAAGCCAGGTGTGGTTATACTGTAGCATAAATTGACTTCCAAGTACTGCTGGCTCACTTGAAGTGTTTTTTCTTTTCCATCCCCTTAGTTTGGGCAGTTCCTATAAAATTTTGTTAATCCAAGTATTTTGTGACAGAAGATACATCTACATCTCCAGCAGCTCAGAGCAAGGAAAAGGAACTAAATAAACCTTTCCAACCTAATAAGTCAGTTGTTCACTTTTCTCATTCCCCTTGTGCAGGGCACACACAAGATACATACTGCAGTAATGTGAGCCAGAGGAATGCATGCAGAGGAGATCCTCCTGTAGACACATTCCGCTGAATTGTAGTTGGAGGAAAGATAATTATCAATTTAAGAATAACACAGATGCCTCCATTGTTTCACATTCTGTGCTTCAACTGAAGAAATATAACCAAATGTTTCACTCTCTCGCAGAGTGTGACACTATGAGATGTTCCCAGTACTGATTATTTGTTCCATCTTCACTTGCCAAATCTCCCATTTGCACAGAGTCTCGTGTTTGGATTTTTTTTTAAATATACATTAATAAGCCGCTGAAAAAAGGCATTGGCATTCAAACTCAGAACAATGGTTTCAAAACTCAGCCCCCCTCCCCAGTAAGCTAGAAGAACAATTACACTTATTGTTTAATATTTATATTACAGTTGCACCACACAGAGCGCAATCAAATTTGGGTCGTTGGCTAGGTTTTGAACACACACAATGGAATTCCAAGTGTCTGCCCTGAAGAATTTAAGTAGGAGATTTTAGATGTGAGCAGATCAAAATATTAGCAAACCTCCTTTCCCCCAATTCCTGCCCCCATTTCTGAACCACATTAGGACAAAATTCATCCTTCCACACAACAGAGAGTGTTTGGAATCCATGAATTGAAGCCAAAAGTTGTGCCACAAAAACAATCCAAGCCTATGTAACTATGTCAACATCAAGATAAAGAAGCACAATTTATAGTATTTGTCACTGCAAAAACGGAGCCCTTTCCTGAATGTTAAACCGTCTGTTAACAGTGAGCTAGAAGAGAGTTTTACTTCTATGATTAGATTAGGTCCAGCATAAACCAGTGGTATCAGACACACGAGCGGTGTCTCACATGCCTTCTGACAGTTCTGCGTTCCCTGGCTCATGCAGACAGTACAACTAAAGATGACCTTTTCTTCCGAAAGCTCAAGGGGAAAAATGAAGGACACTATTCTCTCATTGATTTATAGTACAACACTGGAGATCTGATAAACTCATGTAAATAAATGCACTGATAGAGTTAATACTGATTTTGATCCAGAGTTAACTCAACACTTAAAGCCAAATCTTACATATATATTTCTATACAGGGACATAGTGTGAATACCTGGCTTATTTTTAAGATGAACATTAATTTTACATAGACATGTTTCTATTTAATTTTAATTTCCTGTATTCCTAAATAATATTATTTAAGCATCACTTGCAACATTTTCCTGGAAACAGGCTTGTTTCATATGTGTCTTTCTGAACATCATACTTGTATCATTCAAGATATAACAGCATTTTATGACAGGCAGCACTCAGCATGATACTGCTGAGTTGGTTTATTTCTCCTCGGAAAGGCACAAAAGTAGAACTATGTCTAAAAAGTAGAACTATGTCTGCTGACTTATTTCTCACTGCTTTCAATCAAAACATCTTATCCTAGTGACATTTCTCCCCCCTCCCCCCCGCTTTCAACAGCAAGTATTGATGCCAAGACAAGCAGTCCAGATAAAATCATTGTTAGCAAGACACTTACCATATTTATTGATGACACTGGGCCAATGCTGTTAACATAAATGTCAACATCAATAACTGTTGGTTTTACTGTGGAAGAAAACAAAAGGCAGCATTTAATACCACCCTGTGGAGGACACAGCTCATCATGTTAAACTTTTTCATAATTACAGATACCCATCTTTGATTAAAACCAAAAAACTAACAAACAAAACAGCTCATACATTTTGAAGAACTGGCAAGGTTCCTTTCTATTATGCTTGCTGCATATGTACTCCCTGCTGTAAATTATAGCCCGGGTCAGTTTCTCTTTATAATCTCTGTTTATCTCAGTACCAGCATGGAAAACAGATTTTTTGTGGTTATACAATGGCCCAGATTCAGAAACTAGGCTATAAGGCATCCAAACTGATTTAGCTTACAATTTCCTCCAGTCCCCTCTTCATATAAACTACACGGCCTTCCCCCATGTGCTTGGCTATCCCAGGAAACTCCTTCTAGACTTAGGTCTTGTCTACACAAGAAAGTTGCACTAGTTTAACTAAAAAAAATCAGTTATTTAAACTGATTTTGTTCAGCCAGAGCAATCCCTCCCACCTCATTTTGTTTAGATTTAACTGATTCATAATCGACTTAAACTAACCATGTTTTAAACCCACATAAGATAGCCTTTTGCACTGGTTTATCTAAATTGGTTTAAAATCACATTTAGGTAAGCTGGTGCAGCTCTCTCATGTAAACGAGGTCTTAGGCTCCCTCAGACTCAGGGGGCTAAATGGAGATGTGATTTGGTTCATTAACAGGCCACCTTAAAGCCACTACTTACCTCACTCCACTGATGACTAAGAGCATCAGTGCTGATATAGGTTACATGGCTAGAAGCCAAGCTTTAAATAAGGTAGGGCTACTTTAAGTGGGTTGTTCCCATCCTACGTTAACTTACACCTTCTTCTATCTCCTCAGCATGCAAGTTATACCAATTCATATACCAGTTGTATGATAATTACTGTCTCTAAGGGATCCTACCTTACACCACATTTCTGAATTTAGCTCATTGTATGCATCGAATCATAGAAGTGTAGGATTGGAAGGGAGCTTGAGAGGTCATCTAGTCCAGTCCCTGCACTCATGGCAGGAGTGAGTATTGTCTAGAATGTAGATAATATGTAGTATTATCTTGCATGTAGAATGCAAACAATAAATGAGGCTTTAAAAGTGCTTAGCTATTTTTTTAAGTTGTGCTTATTTCAGTATTTATGAAATAACTGTCAATTCCTGTCAATCACCATTACAATAAACTTATAAAAACAGAAGTTTCTATGAAAATACAAAAGACAAACATTAAAATGAGCAGAAATAGAAACCCAAAGACAATAAGCCCTGTCTATAATTCATAAAGTGGTTCTATACTGTTAGAAAAGTGTGGTATGTGACAGTTTGGGTTACTTAAGGTCAGAAATTTTGTCTAAAGAATTGACTTGTGGTGATAAAATTCAAATCCTGCCTACAGCAATCAAAAGGAAATCTGAACTCAGTTGAACAAACACAGCTGATTAATGTAACTCTAATTGTACCCAGCTGATAACAAAATAGGAGTCTAACTGCTCCTAGCAAGGAGACTGGCTTCAAAATGCAATAATAGGTAGAACTGTAGAAAGCTACAATTGACATAATTTTGGTAAGGATTGGAAGTGGCAGGGAAGCACAAGCAGTTTTATTTAGATATTACATGTGGGCAACAAGACCCTGACACTGCAAAGACGTATGCACATACTCAACATTACACACTGAGTAGTTCCATTGAACTACCCAAAGTGCATCAGGCTAGGCATATAAGCTTCTGTAGGATTGGGGACTAAATGATCATGCATTGTTTTGAATCCACATTTTAGTTAAACTGTATTTATATAAGTTTCAGAGTAACAGCCGTGTTAGTCTGTATCCGCAAAAAGAAGAACAGGAGTACTTGTGGCACCTTAGAGACTAACAAATTTATTAGACTAATAAATTTGTTAGTCTCTAAGGTGCCACAAGTACTCCTGTTCTTCTTTTTGTATTTATATAAATATGCTATAAATAATTAATTTACTGAATAAACTGAGTCAAATAATTTGCAGCATAAAAGGCCCATTTAAACCAGTGGAGAATGTGGCCTTCTATGTTTTGTGAATGCTCCAGATGATTTATAAACAGAAGAGAATTAAGAAGAAGACTGCTGATGTCATGTCAGTGAAAGTCAGGGTCCAGACTCAGATTTCCTCATAAAACCTCCTAATTCCAAATTTAAAGGAGCCTGCTATACTATTACATCTCCTAGTATAGGAGAAGATAGGATGCTCCCTAGAACTAGATTGTTTTGCTTGGTAGTGGCAGAAGATACAAGTGCCACATGTTGTTTCTATAAATGTTAACAGAAATGTAATTGGCACTTCTGTTAAAAAGCATAGCTTCTGTGGAGCCTGGATGCCTCATGATTAGAAATGGTCATAGACAAAACCCCCACAGGTACAGATTTTTAGATGAGTTATGGTAGGACTTTAACTAAGG